ATTGGAATATGAATTCCATCATGAGTACCTGGTCTTGGGTGGATTGGATGTAATTTCTCGACCCTTGACCCATAATTATAGACCACTTATCATTTTCTTCAGAATACTTTTAAATAAATCATCTCCACATTCTTCCTCTTTCTTCTGCAGCTCAAAGAATTTTCTTATGTTCACTTTTCTTTCACCAGCATGTACAGCTTACACACCCAGAACCAATTTTCTATACTTCCATATCTCAAATGTAAAATATTTCCTACAAAAGAAACTCATGGTTTGAAGACAAACTATGCAAACTTGTGAAAGTTAAACATAACTGGAGGCAGTCACTTAAGGCAGTAGGTCTTGCTTGTAAGTTTCTTGGTTCCTAGCCCTGGGAAACTCTTTGGAACTATTCTAGTAACTGTGATTGCAGACTTTACTCTTTGCAGTCTCTGTTCTCCAATGATACTGCTCTCTACGCTAACACCTGTTCTCTGAAACTCTTCAGCTGACTCCTGGCTTTGGCTTGTCTTGTCATTGCTGGTTTTGCCTGAAGCAGGACCGACCCTACCTGCTCCTAATCTACCATTGCTAATGATCACAATCTGCAATTCAAGTCAGTCTTGCTATGTAGCTAGGCAGAAAAATCATAGGACACAATAGATAATATATATGCATATATATGTGCATATATACATGTGTATATTATATATATGCTCTATTTTTCTGTATTTATGTATGCTTTCTCTTTACCTACATTTATATTTACATATAAATATATATCTATGCCTATCTGTATATTAATAGATATAAATATATAGAAAGATAGTTTTAGATGTCAGTAGAGAAAGAACTACACAAAATGTCTACATGTTATATCCAATATAAAATATATATGTAATATACATATATCACAACCTCACTAACATTGATGGATAATATGGCTACGAATATGTGTGTTAATTTCATAAATATTTTACTGTATGTTTATCAACACTAAGTTTCTTAGTGGAGTCTTTTTGGCCTCTTAAGCTTATAATCACAATAATAATATAATATTAATTCCAAATAGAAATACTTGGAAATTTTCCTTTTGTATCTCTTTATTTCATTCTGTTATTTTATTTTCTTAGCTTATTAGTTTCAGTTCAAGCACAGTTTTGAATGGCACTGGAGAGAGTAAACACACTCACAGTTGGAATGCTTTGAGTTTTTACCCACTTAGTATTATGTTGGCTATAAACAGGTCACAAATAGCCTTCATTATGCTGAGATATAATCCCTTCATCCATAGGCTACACAGGACTTTTCATGATGAAGCCATTCTGGATTTTATTAAAGGCTTTTCTAATTAGATAATTTTAGTTTCTGCCTGTCACACCATTTGGGGCAGGACTTAGGCCCTCCCCTATGTGTCTAGGCTGAGAGAGTATCCCTCTATGGGGAATGGGATCTCAATGTCCATTTGTACACTGGGGATAAATACTGTTCCACTACAAGAGGCCCCATAGATATCTGAGGACTCCTAAGTGACACCCACATTCAGGGGGCCTGGTTCAGGCCCAAGCTGATTTCCCATCTGTCAGACCAGGGTCCATGACCTCCCCCTTGTTCAGGTCAACTGTTTCTGTGGGTTTCCCCAGTCTGGTCTTGACCCCTTTGCTCATCACTCCTCCCTCTCCACAACTGGATTCCAGGAGTTCAGCTCAGTGCTTAGCTGTGGATCTCTGCTTCCTTCAGCTATTGGTGAATATTATTCGCTGCTTTAAATCAATGGGGGAGAGAGTAAAGGTCAATTAAGGAACTGAAAAATTGGACTGAGATTGGAAGTACAATTTCTGGGTAATGTTGTTAGCACAGAGGCCTTGGAAGCACCAATGCTGCACTTTGTACACTCATGCCATCTGGTGGCAGAATTCCCTTTTCTTCACAGCAGATTAGTGTTTTACTTCAGTTAGCTTTGGAAATTAATGGGCAAAAATTAACAAAACTAAAAAAAAAGTGAAGTTACTTGGCCAGAGAAACATTATGGCATCATAGTTGGCTTAAATGTTCCCTTTAAATTATATATCTTGAATTTTTTTTCAGATCAGACTCCAGAACATTCCAATTTGTGTGTGTGTGTGTGTGTGTGTGTGTGTGTGTGTGTGTGTGTGTGTGTTTGCAGTTTTCACTATGTCACCCTAGCTGAACTCAAATGCACAGTTATTGTGTGCACTCAAAGATAATCCGTAGTCCATAAGGCTAAGATTTCTTTAACCAGATAAACACCAGCCCAAACGCAAGCCAGACGTGGAGAGCGTGCCCAGAGGCTGCAAGCTAGCGTGGCCAGAGAGAGGGTATGGGTCCACCTGTCCGTGGCCTCTTAAAAATTCTCTCTTCGACCTCCCCTGACCACGCCCTCAGGGGTGTGGCCAGGCACACCTCTAGGGGCTACTAGAAGGCGGGGCTACAGTGTCTCCCTACACACAATCTTCCTACTTCTCCCTAAGAAAAACAGGAACAACAAAATCTGTGCTACCCATGAATCCACTTGTAGTCTCTGATCTGTCATTCATCTTAATTTAAATAATCAATGTGATGTTTACCTATGTAAATGTCTCCAGAAGCTATAATTTTGTATGCCATCTATAGTTCAACTCTGAACATTTTCATTTGAAAGTTTATCTAAAGATCACTTTAAAGAATGTATTTCCATGGCTAGACAAAAGGGTGAAGAGAGCAGCCCTTATCAGAGAAAACCACGGGGCTCACTGTACTGCCCAACATTTTCTAGCACTGTCTTTGCTATTTTTTGAAATTAACATCTATTGAGAAGTGGATATGCTTATTCAACACTGTATTCTGGGGTGTGTGAGTGTGTGTGTTACTCATATCCTACTGACTAGAGTATTTTGTGGGTGAGGTAGACAGTACATTAGTATGAAGGAAATTAGGTTTTGTGATGCTGGTTTGGTCAAGCGGGGCTTTGAATTTGCTGGGTAAGTACTCTTCCCCTAAGCTATACTTCTAGTTCCAAAAGTTCTTCTCATGTACCCCAAACTAGCTCAGTGACCTTGACTCCTTATATTCCTGCCTCTTCCTGAAATAATAGGTGCCACCATACTTGTTTGTTGGTTTTGTTTTGTTTTTTTAATGCAGTACTGGGGGGGGGGAGTCAAGCTCAGGACTTCATGCTTGCTGGGCTGCCACCCTGCTAGCTGATAAAGTCCCAGCTCTGCAAATTTAAGTCTTTAGTAAGATGGGGTCTTAGAGCCGGGTGGTGGTATACATCTTTAATCCCAACACTTGGGAGGCAGACGCAGGTCAGGTGGATCTACTGAGTGAATTCCAGGACAACTAGGACTATACACAGAAAACCTGTGTTGAAAAACTACTAAACCAGGGCCGGGTGTAGGCGGCGCACGCCTTTAATCCCAGCACTCAAGAGGCAGAGGCAGGATCTCTTTGAGATTGAGACCAGCCTGGTGTGCAAGCGCTAGTTCCAGGACAGCCTCTAAAACCACAGAGAAACCCTGTCTTGAATAACCAAAAACAAAACAAAACAAAAACAACTAAACCAAAGATAGGGCTTGGGAGTCCCCAGCTATGCTTGAACTCACTGTGTAGCAAAGAATGACAAGAAACGTGTGATCCCCTGCTTCCACTTCCCATGTCACGAATTACCACCATGTGCTACCATGTCCTATTTATGTAGTACTAGGCAAGCATTTTACCAATTAAGCTACATTCTTAGACACCAGAGCCTCCTTGAAAGCTGGGCATATGGCAAAAGCTTTTTCTAGTTAGTATTCTGTTGCTATGAGGAACCATGACCAAACGCAACTTGAAAAGAAAGGGCCAGTCTCAGCTTTCAGGTTGTATTCCATTATGGATGGGTGCTGAAAGAGAAAGTCAAGCCGGAGCTTGAAGCAGAAACCCGTGGAGGAATGCTGCTCCCTGGCTTGCTCTGCTGCCTCCCTCTCTCCTTCCTTTTTTAGCTATCTAAAGTGTGTTCACTAGGATGGGTCCCACTCGTTTTGAACTCAGTGCTGCTTCTTCCTGGAGGAGCATTGTTCTGTCAGCTTTGCTTTTCCTCCTATAGGCTGAGGGGACAGCGAAGCAGCCAACACACCAGACTACCGTTTATGCATGGCTGAAGACACTGGTGATTTTATAGCATCCTGGGGATTTCACATCCATGAAATGCATTATGTTCAAGACAAATTTTTTGTGGGATTAGAGCATGCTGTGCCCACTTTTAATGTTAAGGAGAAAGTAGAAGGTCCAGGCTGCTCCTATTTGCAACATATTCAGATTGAAACAGGTGCCAAAGTCTTCCTGCGGGGCAAAGGTATAGGCTGCATTGAGCCAGCATCAGGCCGAGAAGCTTTTGAACCCATGTATGTTTATATCAGTCATCCCAAACCTGATGGCCTGGCTGCAGCCAAGAAGCTCTGTGAGAATCTCTTACAAACAGTTCAAGCTAAATATTCTAGATTTGTGAATCAAATCAATACTGCTGTACCTTAACCAGGCTATACACAACCCTCTGCTCTAAGTATAAAAAGTTAATTTGCCTTTGTATCGGGAGCTGAGCCCATCACCTAGCAGCATCCCGGAACTCTTCATCCTGTGCATGGGATCATTTGTGTTCCTTGCCTCTAATTGATACAAATGAGCAGAATAAAAAATTAGTTTTTTTCTTTTCTTCTTTTCTTTTAGCTCTTTAAGAGGTGAAATGTTAGTCCTCAGAGACTCACTTGCTAACTTTCCTCTTTTTTTTTCTTTCTTTTTTTTTCTTTTCTTTTTTTTTTTTTCTTTTTTCTTTCTCTGTTTTCTTACATGGTTCTGGTGGATTCTCATTTGCTGGTGCTGGCTGTTTTTCGTGTGATCATCAACGTTTTGGGGTGACCATTGACCCTGTGACTACAAAATGGTGTCCAACTAACCACTTACAATTAACATCTTTTTTTTTAATTAACGAATTTATGGTATTTTTTTCTTGGTGGGGAATGGGGTTGGGTTATTCTCTCTTCTAGATTATCCAGCTAAGAAGATGAAAACGGCCGAGAAGGGACTTGGCTTAGTAGCTTATGCGGCAGACTCCTCAGATGAAGAGGAGGAACATGGAGGCCATAAAAATGCAAGTAGCTTTCCACAGGGCTGGAGTTTGGGCTATCAGTACCCTTCATCACAGCCAAGAGCCAAGCAGCAGATGCCGTTCTGGATGGCCCCATAAGAAATAGGGGCAGACCTTTGATGCTCGGTGACTCTTCTTAGCAATAATGCATGCACTTGATTAAACAAGACTCTGGGACCTGTTCTGGGGGCCATCTTGGACCTTGAAGACATTAGGGACGAAGTGTCCTCTGTCATAAAGGGATGCCATCCTTTTTAAAACCCTGTTTCTGCAGTGGCATAATATCCGTTAAAATTCATTTAGAATCACAAATTTGCCTCGAGCTTTTTAATAGTTGATGAAATGTCCGTGTCCAGAGAAACATCAGGACTGTGTCAATGCCACATATGTTTGACCTGGTCTAGCCTGTTCCAAATGAATAACCTCAACTCTGTTGTAAAGAAAGTTTTATTTGTATTTTACTACTATTGGGTCCATTTTGATAATAATTATTTGATAATAATTATTAAATGGTAAGTCTTTGTTTGTAACTGGTTACAAACAAAGACTTAGACTTACCATCTAATAATGGGAAATGGTTTTAAGACCCTTCCTTCGAATACTTACATTTAATTCTAAGAGCTTCTCATCCATCTTTCCATTTGGATTCTTTCTGTTTGGAAAATGCTGTTGTAGTACTTTGAAATGGTCAGATACAACTGATATCCTGAGTAGGGAAATGAAATTATTTTTGCATTGTTTCTTAACTGGGGTGATCCAAAGCTGGCACTTGTCAGCACACTTGCTTCAGGTAGCCATTGCTATTGTTACTGCCCTCCTAATTCCTTGTTTTCAGCTGGGTCAAAGAAAACGTGATTAAAAGTTGGTCAGAGCTGGTCAGAACTCATCACAGAAATGAAACACAGTTTCTGTCTCTCTCTCTCTCTCTCCCTCTGAACTGGTTGCAGCAAAAACAGAGAGGATTGATGACACTGACAAGATGGTGGACTCTGACTGGAATTGCAACTGGTCCTTTTTTCTTGGCATGGCAAGTTTTGCCAAAAGAACTTTTTTGTATCAAATATTGGTGTGTGGAAGTGAAGGAACTGGTGGCTGAGCCAAAAGTGGGTTAAATATTGGTGTGTGGAAGTGAAGGAATTGGTTTTGGCTGAGCCAGGAGTGTTTGAGATACTGTCATTTTTGCACATTTTTGGATACTTTGGAGGCTGGCTTTGTACAAACTTACTCTCTGATTTCCTATATGTTGTAAATAATTAGACCATAATATCATTATAAATAAATGTATAAATATTTTTAAAAAGAAGTTATGGCGCAATTGGACTTAACAGATATCTATAGAATATTCCATGCAAATACAAAACAATTTACCTTCTTCTCAGCGCCACATGGAACCTTCTCTAAAATTGACCACATACTCAGCAACATAGCAAACCTCAATAGGTACAAAAAAATTGAAATAACCG